ATAATTTTTATGTATAAAATTGTACAGTTTCGAGAACTAAATGTGTCTCATCATTCGACTAAAAAAACTTTTTTTCGCTGGAGGAGATTGTTAATTGGCAAGAAACAAACTAAGGGGGCGTCCATTAATGTCGTGAGGTTTAGGGGGGGGGGGGTTGACAAAAAACCACGAAATATCACCTGTATTTATTTTTAACTAATTTTTTTAAAAAAAAGTCCAAACATTTTCAAAAAAAATCGAAAAGTTTACAGTTTTTTCACGTAACTAAAAAAAACGTGATGCTTGGTGGGGGAGGGGAGGTCTAATTTTGAATATCACCATGTATCACCAAGGGGGAGGAGAGGTCCAAAAATCCTTAAAAACTTGCTCAGGTGATTAATGAACGCCCCCTAATGTACTAACTCTTAAAAAATTGTTGACATATTATATATATATATATATATATAACTCTTAATATATATATATATATATATATATATATATATATATATATATATAAATTTAGTGTCACAGATGTTGTCTACGGTGAACGCCTGAAATACTGAACCGATTTAAAATTTGTTTTGCTCACTGTGTACTTATGGATCCCATTTAGGACATAGGGTATATTAACAATCTCAATTAATAGCAGAAATTTTATATTATTTAATTAAAAAACATTTTGACATTTTACCATAGTTTGAGTTCTGTCGAGAGTCTACAAGTCTAGACAAAAGACCATAGAGCAACGAATGCTATGAACGATTGAAAAATAAAAATACTAATAGAAAACCTTCACAGCCAACTTGAATCGAATACATTTTATAAGTAAAATCATCACTTGCTTACTTATAACAAATTTTATAAATTTATACTAAACTTTAATTTTTTGTTTTTTTATTTTTTAATTTTAAGAAAACTTTGATCAATAGTATTGGTTAATAAGAACCACTGTAAAGCAGCAAAATATTTTTGATGGCAAAACAACGTTTGCCGGGTCAGCTAGTATATATATATATATATATATACACATATATATTAACAAAGTCTAATAATCGGGCATAACATCAATAAAAAACATGAATTTCTTTCAAAAATTCATTTTAAATCCATACGTTTCGGCTATAATCCTAGCCTTCATTCAGTGGAAAAATTAGTTGATCTTAGTGTTAAATTGGAAAATTTTAATAATCCATGGTATTAGGATATGGTAATGCACTACACTATGTATTATAAACATTAACTTGAAATTACACAATATTTTCACAAATAAATAAATATAAATATAATAAATTTTCTAAATTGGTATAGGATTCTTGGCAATTTTTACAATATAAATGACAAGCTGTCTTATAAATCTATTAAGTAATTGAGGTGATGAATGACAATGTTTTTTTCATAAGGCAACTCAGTAATACACCTTATATCGGTGAAATAAGAGCATATCACTTTTGGACATTTTGGCAAAAATTTGGACGAAAATTGTGCCCATCGTCCCACAAAATTAATCAACTCAAGTCCTTATCGGGTAACTAATGGAATTAAAATTTTTGAAATTGCTGCAGCTATTTAATAAAATTGAATAAAAAAATTGAAAAAAATGGGCTCACATACAAACTTACGTCAGACGATTCAGCGTCACAAAAAAATAAAAGTAGCAAATTGATTTTTTAGCGAAAACATGACCTTAAGGTAACAAATAATGATGAAATCAATTCCAATGAATTTTAATTAATTGAAATAATTATTAGAAATAAATTTCAAAAAATCAAGATTTTTGTTATCAAGTCTATCAAGATTTAAGTATTCGTTAGCACGGAATAGAATTACGAAATTTTAACTTAATGAGGATTAAAAAGCTGTTTACTAATAATTTAAGTAAACGCAAACAATTGAATTTAACCTCTCACCGACCTCGCGTGTCGTCGTTTCCCATTTTGAATCATTTTGAAGATGGTCCATTTTCTACATTAACATGGCGTGATCATTTTTTTCTGGCTTGTTAACACACCTCATATTTTGTTTAATTTCTTTTTGTTTGAAACTCTATTAACCTTCCATAGTAAGAAAATAAATTTGGTCAAAAATGCTGCTTGTGATTAGAAGAGCAGCAAACGGAATCAATTGTTTTAGATGAAAGAACAAAATATAATAAAAAATACCACATAAAAGTAGAAAATTACCTTTTCTGTTGAGGACTGACAAGTATTAGAATAATATACTAAAATACAGTTCACCAACGCCATTTGAATTGGAACAATGAATTTGCTGCAGCGCAACTGTAAAATTTAAATATAACCTATTTTTAAATATTCTTTAAAATAAATTTTATTAATTTATGATATAATATATGTCATAGTCTTATGTATAATATAGTCAATGTTCATAAGAATTATTTTATTATTAGCCTATTTTTTTAATCGTGCTGAATTAAAGTATAACAATGTTTTTTGGATTCTTTTAGACAATATGATGAGGAACAGATAATTCTCATGTATTTTGATTCCATTTCTAGCTATTCAATATCATTATATTTATTCCGACGTTTTTGATATGATGTTAAAGATTTGATTTTTAAAAAAGAGCAGTTAATTTTGTTTATTGCAAATCTAGCAATAAATATAAATGTTGGGAATTCATCAGTATATAACCAATTTCTACTATTCATTATAACTACTCTCATTGTGATTTCTAGACATCTTTTTGAGTGAAAGTGAAAGATGTACAAGTTTTAAAAAATATTTTTATTTTGCTCACAAATCTGGCAATAAATGTAAAATTTGGCAATTTAATGGTATAATACAAAGCATCAGAGAAAACACATTGAAAATTAAATATTACTATAATTGTTATTGAGTTGTATAACAAGATATAAAATGCAAGAAATCATGCATTTGTGCGAGTATTAATATTATACATATTATTTATTATATTATGAAAATATTTTGTCTATAAAACAGAACATTGTTAGTTGATAAAGCACGAAATCTCTTTCCGACTATAAACAGCACTAGCATGCACAATATAAGCAAAAGTGCATGCAGATAAAGTTTATGATCCAAATCTATGCCTTCAATTTTAACTATATTTTCTATTGAAATCTCTACAATGGCGGTGAAGAAATTGTGAAACGCTGCAACAATTACCTTACAGGGCATCGGCGCTTCAGTATAAATGAATTGATCATAAGTAATACTAAAGTAAATTTCTCCTAGTATCAACACAACAGCCTGAGGTAGCATCCAAAAGACATTTTGGCACAGAATTCGGTTCCGTTACTACAAAAACTCTTGCTGTGCTGTTGACTAATGTAACCAAATAAACCCCGCCTGGGTCCAAATCGAGTTTCGTGACTTTCGCTCCGTTCAAGTACAAATCATACACAGATACGTCTACTTCATATATTCTGGTAGGATTATTGATCACTGAATGTCCGGCAACAATGCTTGGTTTTACAGTCATCGAAAACTCCGAGCCGTATGGATCTCTGATTACCACGTTGTCCCGAATGCAACCGCCTGTCCATCTTCATTCCTTATCATCACCGACATAGCAATACCGCCATATGTATCTATCGTTTCATTTATTGGAGGGAAGCAAGATCCTCTTATTGAAAGGTGTGGTGAAAAGAGTCATAGGGTACGTGTTTATTGCTGTACATTCCAAAAGGATTCACTATGAGGTAGTCTGGTACGCTGTACAATTAAAACCATTGAATATCCTGATTTGCAACTCCTTCTCCGTTGGCAAAGGTGGCAATTGTGACTTGATGCAGGTTTCCAATATTCCTGATATCAGGAAAGCAATTGATATCAACAGTCCACCAAAAATCATTCTTCTGAACGTTCTATCAAGTTTCCATGGTATAATTATATCATGGTATAATCTATGACGTGATCGCATATTGGCATAATTATAATCGCCAACAATGGTTTCATCAACTCGTAATGTTCTAATAGAAAACTAAAAGATCCTAATTGACCGTCCATTTTGCTGGCCTGGGTCATCCATTCATCTATATATCGGCTGTACAGGCCGGAGAAAACTGGAACGCAACAAAAAATAATAATCATATTATAAACCGTTTTAATATCGGTAACTGATTCTGTTCCATATTCGGGTTCTGCATGGTCAAGCCAATGTGGTCGAGGATTATAGTTTTACGATCTTGAATTGAAAGTTTCATTCCGTTCCATATGCAGGCGATGATATATTTTGAGGTGTGCACCGATTTCAAAATGATAAAATAGCGATTTCCTACTAGAAAAATAATAACGTTGGCAATTTTCAAGAGCATGCTTATACTGAAAGTCAATACGAAGCAGTCCTCTTCTCCTAAACATGAAACTGATTTCGTGATTAATGGTCCGTGAAAATTTCCGAGGAGTCCGGTGACATTATGTAGTATGTATAATGACCTATAGTACTTCATCAGCGCGGGTTTCTCATCTGGCAACTGAAACTGGTTGCCCTCAAATGCGAATTGTACGCTGTTCACAACAAAAGCAAGAAAAATACTGTATGCCAAATGCGTATAATACAATTCCTTGGTTAAATATTGAAGTGACGGGACCGCCATCAAAGCCATGAGTGCTTGTTGAATGATTATTCCAATAAAATTGAAAAGTAATAGGTAGTATTTGTTTCCAAAAGATTCACTGATACATGCCCCGAGCGGCAGAAGAAAAATGATTAACAGTTTACGACATTGAAGAATTACCGACATTTCTTTTGCATCAAAAGCAATTTTATTGACCATAAACGAGTGCATCACTTTAATTAAGCATTTTATTTTTTTTATTTAATTTTATTGTCGTGGCAAAATTATTTTATTTTAGATTTTGAAATAATTAATTTAGTGCTATGGTTAAGGTAAGCTAATCTTCTTATAACAAATAGCAAGCATATTCATTAAAATATATTATGATATTTTATAACTTACGCATCTTCATAAATAAAATATAATAGAATATCTCATATAAGATCTACACCTGCTCAAACGATTTTTGAAAAAATTTCAGATGGCTGATTCTGCTGTTAGTGTACAGGTGGCTTTAAGGATAAGGCCTTTAGTCAAATCCGAAATTTCTAAAGGATATGTTAAATGCCTCGAAACAGTGCCAAATAAACCTCAAGTTTTAATAAAAAATCTTTCTTTTACTTACAACCATGTATTTCCACCAGAAGTTTCGCAAGCTCAATTTTATGACACTGCTGTGAAGGGTTTAGTTGATGGATTGTTTAAGGGTAATTTATTTCTACTAGAATTTAATTTTGACATAACATAACTTTGGTGTAGGTGAATTTATCTCTCATCTATAATCCCAAATTCTATTTTTATCTTCAGTATCTTTACTTTATTATTTATTATTTTGTTCAATCTAAAAATATATTTTAGGCTACAATGTGACAATATTAGCTTATGGTCAGACTGGCTCCGGAAAAACTCATTCCATGGGCATGGCTTATTCAGGTGGACCAGTCGAGGAGATGGGTGTTATACCAAGAGCAGTAAAAGACATTTTTCAAAAAATTTCAACTCTGACGGAGCAATATTATTTTCAATTACAAGTTAGATCAATATAAACTACTTTCCAAATATTAAAGTAATAAATTTAAAGTGTATTGTTAAGGAGCATATGGGGTTTAAATGAGAATTAAAATTTAAAAGCCATAACCTTTTTACACTGTAATTAGAGTTTATTTGAATACCCATAAATGGTCAGAAATTAAACATGTCAGATTTTCAAAATCTTTGCATTGTGTTTGTACTTCTATATGTTTGGTTGAATATAATTGTTCTGCACTCCTTAGGAGTGGATATGGATTGCTATTTAATATAATTTGCTTTTAGAAATCATAATAGTTTATGAAATTGTAAACATAATAATAACAGTAAGTCATTTCTTCAGTAAAGTATTTTCTCATGTTCTACAGGTATCATTTATGGAATTATATCAAGAACAATTATTTGATCTTTTATCAAAATCAAATAGAGATCAAAGTATAGTTGATATCAGAGAAGATCAACAAAAAAGAATTGTAATTCCTGGATTAACCGAAATTGAAGTAGGTGATGCAAAAGATGCATTAGATTGTTTAATTAGAGGATATCGTCGCAGAGCTGTAGGTGCAACTGCAATGAACAGTCAATCCAGTAAAAGTCATGCAATATTCACTATCCATATACAACAGCGAAAAATCAGCGATAAGTAAGTAATAGTCAGTAAAAGAAAAAAGCTTTACGTATTATTTTTTTGTTATTTAAAACTGGATCTAGTAATGATGAATGAAAATAATGGTTTTTGAATTGAAAATTATTTTAGTTCACCATGGTTGTCGCTTCGAAACCATACATACAAAGCATTTGTGCGAAAATTATGCGTGTGTAATGTTAGCGTTTTTTTGGATCTTCTGTTGACGTTTTCACAAAAACGATTGAACTGATTTCATAACTTCAAATGCCACTGTATGTAATTTGGTAAGGACTAGCATTGATTAGTTTTGTGCGACGTTTGCGATCATAGTTTTAAAGAACATAATAAAATATTATGGTCCTGCGACAAGAGGTTTAATTTTAATAAATTCATTAAAGTTTGAAAAAATTTGATACCAGCTTCTCTCTAGGTCGATTATTCCACATTTAAATGTCTGAATATTTCCTTTTTATTACTAGAAATAGTCTAACAAAATGCAAGTTACATTTGGTAGACTTGGCAGGATCTGAAAGAGCAAATAAAACAAAAGCAACTGGTAATCGCTTCCGAGAAAGTGTAAAAATTAATAAAGGATTGTTAGCTCTGGGTAATGTCATATCAAGATTGGGCGAGGGCTGTACGGGTTTCATAGGTTATCGTGACAGCAAATTAACAAGACTACTACAAGGTAAACTAAAACTTTAATTATTACATATTTATATATATATATATATATATATATATATATATATATTGTTACGAATGTGTGGGTGATGACCCACACACAGATATAAAATAAGACATGAATACTCCACTCCCTATACGCATATACGAGTAAAAACCATGTCACTGATGAGTGTGTTCGAAGGCCTGTGGGGTAGTTAGTCTAGGAACAATCTAGACTCTAGAAGTAGTCGTAGTCTTGGGCTAGTCGTTGTCGAGGGTGTGAGTTGCCTGCAGGGCTTCAGAGTCGGCAAGCGTGCGGTCAACCGCACGAAAGTGTTAATCAAAATGTTTATACGAGTAGTGTGATTCTAGAGAACGTTATGGGGCGCAGCGTTTCGGGAGCTGTCGCCGAACCGAAAGTAGACTTATTGTTAGTGTAATTAGAAAATGTGATTGTTAAGTTAGTGAATCGGGCCCGATATATGGACAGGTTATGGACACGAATCAAGTCGTTAAAGGCTTATATATATATATATATATATATATATATATATATATATATATATATATCGTAGGGTCCGCCGTAGTCAAGATCGTTAACGCGATGACTTTGTATGGACAAGGTCGCGCGTTCGATTCCCCGCTCTGGCAACCTGGCATCGGGCAGCGCGATGTCCATTTTCAATTGAAAATATAGATCAAAATATGTTTCCAATTGAAAATAAGCCCATCTCGGGCACTGCGGTGTGAAATGGAAATGGGAAAAACTCTCACACTACTTCTTCCCTGAATCGAGTTATATTATTATATATATATCGTTGTGTTGAAAAAATATTTGAGTACTGTGCTATCCAAATATCTCTTGAGTATGGTCATTTTTGTTTAATTTGTGTTTACCGATCCCCAGACCAAAATGGTTCCACATTTAATACTCTCCTTTACGATCTTCTAAATGAGCTGTCTAATAAATACGATAAAATAATTTTATGCGGCGATTTTAATATCCATTTTAATAAAACATACAAATTGTTAGATGATTTTAAGATCTTAATTCAATCATTTAATCTGAGCCAGACTATTCATACTCCAACTCGTGTAACTCCACAGTCGGCCTCGTGTATCGATAATTTTTTTACTAATGTACAATTCATTGAATCCTCTGTTACAAACACCACTCTATCGGATCATTACGGTATATCTCTTGCGATTGCATCTAAGGCAAAACCATTCAACAATAAAATAAGTTATTCGAGAATTTTCGACTCAGCCAATAAGCTATGTTTCAAAGCCTTACTGGAAAAAGATAGCCTCGTATTTCAGGATAATAATGACGCTAATGCTTTATTTAATAACTTCATGTCATTCTTTCTATACAATTTTAATTTAGCTTTCCCTTCTTCAAAAAAAATCCAGGCCCCTAAACGGAATTTGCCCTGGTTCACTAAGGGCTTATGTATATCATTCAATAGATTAAAATTTCTAGAGCGTCTATCCAAACGGAATGGTACTTTATCGTTCCAAATTTACTTTTTGAAATATAGGCAAACGTTTAATGATTTAATTGATTTAGCAAAAATTAAATTCAACGAAGATTTAATACGGCACTCGTCTTGCAAGCAAAAAACTATGTGGTCTCTCATTAATTCTGAAATGAATCTAGAACGTAAATCTGCGGTAGAAATTAAATCTTTGACAATTAATGATGTAATAATTAATGACATTAATGATATTTCCAACGAAATGAATAACTTCTTTGTTAATGAGGCTTCAAATTTGACTTCCTCCATCATCTCGAACATCACTTGCTGCTCCCCTGTTTCGTATATTGTTAGAAATATTCATAGCTTTGTTTTATTTCCTGTCACAATTGAGGAACTTGCAAGTACTTTTGAAGCTATTAAATCTTCCTATTCCGCGGGACCGGATGAAATTCCTACATGCATCATTAAAGAATTCTATCCTCTTTTTATTGATAACCTATTAATATGTATTAATAAATGCTTTGAGCTGGGAGTTTATCCAAACCACCTTAAGCACTCCAAAATCCGCCCTCTTCATAAAAAAGGCGATAAAAATATTGTGAGCAATTACAGACCTATTTCTCTTCTTAATTCTTTTGATAAGGTGTTTGAAAAAATTTTGCACGTCAGAATCTCTGGGTTCTTAAATAAATACAATATTTTGTTTCACAACCAACATGGTTTTCGGAAAAAACACTCTACATCGCACTCGGTTTTTAGCCTCATCCAAAATGTTATTAACTCATTTGAAGATGGAAGTTATTGTGTAGCCGTCTTTTGCGATCTCTCCAAAGCGTTCGACAGTATATCTCACAATATTCTCATTGATAAATTAGAAATGTATGGTTTTCGTTCTAGCTCGCTTAAATTACTAAAATCTTATTTAACAAACAGAACTCAAAGCGTATATTTGGACAATAGCACCGGTGGTAAAGTTATATCCAGGAAATTAAACGTGAAAATGGGTGTCCCACAAGGATCAATTCTTGGACCGCTCCTATTTCTTCTTTACATTAACGACCTACCTAATTGCTCAAATCTTTGTGACTTTATTTTGTTCGCTGATGACACTTGTCTAACCATCAAAGCTAGAACATACGATGACCTCGCAACGAAATTGAACAGTGTCATGGATTCCGTTTCGAAATGGTTCAATATAAATAATCTTCTTTTAAACAACGACAAAACCCAAATTATTTCTTTCTGTACAGCAACGCGCGTAGCGAATGATATTTCCTCATTTACAATTAATAACTATTCATTTGACTCCTCTTCAGTATCTAAATTTCTTGGAGTTTATATCAATAAGAATCTTAACTGGTCTGAACACGTTTCCAACCATTTATGCTTCAAATTAACGCGTACATGCTTTATCCTGCGAACCCTTAAATCAAAAATTTGAATATCCAGTTTACTTTCTATTTATTACGCAAACTTTTATTCACACATTGCTTACGGTATCCAATTTTGGGGTTTCTCTAATGAACTAATTAAAGTTTTTAAACTTCAAAAGAGAGCAATTCGAATAATTTTTTCACTATCCTCCAAGACATCATGCCGTAATATCTTCAATGAACATAAAATTTTAACAGTACCGAGTATATTTGTTCTAGTCACACTTAATTTCATAAAAAATAATCCAGACTCTTTTAATTTGTCTTCGATGTCAAATACCAAGCACAATACGAGACATAAAATAATTAAAGGTAAGACTTATAAACTACACAGTTCCTTTAATACTATCTGCGGTATGGGTATACAATTTATGAATAAACTGCCGTTACGTGTTCGTACCCTTGATAACAAGAAATTTCATAAAGTACTAGGTAATGCGTTAAAGGATTTAACTTTTTATAGCCCTCTGGAGTTTTTAAATTTCGATTTTTCAAATTACTTTCCCGAAAATCTCAACTAATCATTAACGCGACTTTTCCCGCTCGAAGAAATTTCTCTATTACAGGCAGCAGCAAGATCGATGGATCGACGATGGCAAAAATCCCTACGAACCTACGGGCCCAAACTAACTGATGTCACCTACCAGCCATGTCTATGTCTACTATGCTCGTGACAATATAATTCGTTCGTTAAACTAAATACTTATAAATTACTATTATTATTATTATTTCTTTCTTTGTTTATTTTTTCTTTTTATTTGTTTTATATAACTGTTATTGTTATATTGTTAAAATACTTAATAATTAGTTAATTAAACACTTACAATTTAAAAAACAAAAAATTTGAGAAACATTTTTTTTTTTTTTTTTTTTTATAATTATTATTTTCATAAGACTGTTATTTTTAAAATACTTAATAATTAGTTAACTAAAAACTTATAATTCAAAACACTTTAAAATCGTGAAACAAAATTTTAATTTTTTTATTTCGACTGTTATTGTTAAAATACTTAATAATTAGTTAACCAAAAACTTATATTTAAAAACACTTAAAAATTGTGAAACAAAATATTTCCTTTATCAAAATACCTAAAAATTTGTAAAAGAAAAAAAAATTGTAAAAATATTTAACATAATAATAAAAATGATAATGATAATATTAATAATAATATAATTATAATAATATAAGATACTCAAATTTGTTAAAATATTATAAAATAACCTAAAATTTGTTAATATTGTAAAAGTATGTATTGTAAAGCTTATTAAAATTACTTATTAAATTTTTAAAAAACACTTGTAACAAACAAACTAGTTATATTAAAAAAAAAAAATTATAATTAAGTAATATAAATAGGTTTATAGTAAATAAATTAAGTAATTAAATAGCTAATAATTAATTAAATTATATTAAACCTATAAAATATTGACTTAAGCCTTATTATAATATTAAATATTATACCGACGGCTTGTAAAATTAATAAATAATAAATAAATAAATAAAAATAAATAAATCGTACGGATATATACGGCATCCGATTCCGACATACAAGTTGTTTTGATACGAGTTTCAGTCATTCCGAATCGTTCATATCTGTTTGTCATGTGTGATATATTTTCAATTTCTAGATTCTCTTGGGGGCAATGCGGTTACATTAATGATAGCTTGTGTAAGCCCAGCGGATTACAACATAGAAGAAATAATGAGCACGTTACGATGTGCAAATAGAGCAAACAAAATAAAAAATAAACCAATTGTAAATAAAGAGCACAAAAATGAACTTGTACTGAAATCGAGACAAGAGGTTACAACATTTTGCACAATAATTTACTTATGTATATGTATATATATATTATATATCATTAAGAAAAATTAAGAAACTTGAAAAAATTCTAAAAGATTATTATTTATTTATATAATACATACACATTATATACATTATTATATTAATTTCAGATAAAGGATAATAATTTATTGAAAGCATTAGATTCATTAGATGATGAAACTAAGGGAGAGTTAAGCACAAGTGAAAGCTCATGTAATATTCGTTTACATACAATTAAAGAAAGCATAGATGAAGTGCAGGTTTGTTTTCATATTTTATATCACTGACAGTTCAAAAAACTCTGCTTCTAATGATAAGTTTGAGAGTGTTTTTTGAAATATAAAAGTATAGAATAACATGTTTATTAAAATGAGACAGTCTTAAATCCATTTTTAGAAAACACTAATAAAAGTTTATACTCATATTTTGGACCATGATATTGAAAAAAGACCTGTATCAGAAGTGTCCTGTGAAAGCAGTGGTTTTCAAGAAGATGTTCACTTAGAATCATCTGAAAGCATTACTGACCTTGATGTAAAGGAACAACAAGATAACCATTTATCTCAGCAGGCAGCTTTAACAACAGGGCTCCAACAATTAAATAAGGAATTGGCTTGGAAGCGAACATTAGTGGCACAAGTTGCACAAAAAGTGAATATGCCAATACCTGAACCTAAATATGCTCCAAAAGACTTATTTGATATGATTGCTGACCCAAGGCGTTCAGTTGATGTCCATAATGGTATTATTACAATCAAATCTATTAATCTGATATTTTTATAGCAACAAAAATATGTAAATATGTGAAAAGATACATGTTAGTATGGGAAAGTTAAAATAATTTTCATTGTATCTGCTTAGAGCGCGGGACTGAAATGGAGAATCAGCTAACAGAAGCAGTGGCGAAAGTTGCCTCAATATCAAAGGAAACATGATAAGCTAACGCGAGCAACATAGACAT